AGCGGCAGCTCTGATGAAACTCACACTCAGGCGAGCTTTTAAAATCTCTGCACAAAATTCAATTTAAACCACAATAATAGAGCCTACTAGACTGGAGAATACACTAGACCTCATCTTCACTAACAATGAAATCTGATAAGAAATAACACCATATCAAAAAAACAATATACTCAATCACAACATAAATGGAGGTTCATCCTTGAATGCCGGAGCCCCAACCGACATAATGAGATTAGTCACGAGGGAGCATCACCACATTCAACTTCAATAACAAAAACATAAAGTGGACCAAGTAAACCAGGTCTAACCATATAAGCTGTGAAGATAAACTTAGCAACACAACCCCAACATATCCTAGAACAGATTAACTCCGTACACTCGATGTATGCACAAGGCATTATTCCTCTAAGAAAACGAGAGTGATGTAAAACAAAAGAAACAGGCGCTCCCTTTACAGGCGACGGAAAAGCATACAAGCGCTAAAAGAGTCAATATATCTGAAATGCGTAGGGAGACAACTGTTCCGAGAAATAGCAAGCACGAACTTAACAAAAGAATCCTTTAGGAGCCAGGAATCGCGGAAGAACTAAAAGCCATAAATTGAAAACGAAAGACATACCCAAAGTAATTTCTATCTCCTACCTAAATCAAAATCGATGACCAACGTCCATAGTTGGCCCCTACTTAAACAGAAGGTCCTACACAGATGACAACAAGGAAATGATGAGCTACCTCAAGCCAATATGACTCAGTTTTTAGCAAGCCGCTAACCAACTGAAGTCCCGAAGATCAAATGAAATTTTAATGAGAGAGCCACAAAATTTGATTAACACAAGCCTATCCGATGTTATCCTGACGCCAATACTTCGACAAGCGATAAATGACATGCCCATGCACTCTGCCCAGGCCAGACTCATGAACTCTGTTTCATCAAAACTGCAAGAAGACCCTATCACGAGCCCTTTTCCATCCAATGGAGAGAGCATGGACACGGTCGCCCACAGTTACTACAAACAACAGACATACCCCACTCACAAAGGGGCAGTAAAGCAACAGCAAAGAACTACAGACCAATCGCACTAACATCCCTATCATAAAAATCTTTGAAAGTCCCATAGAAGCAAGATCACCACCATCTAGAAACCCTCAGTTACACAACCCAGGTACCACATGTTTAGAAAAGGTCGCTCTGTCTAGTTCACAACTATGCCCACTACGACAAAGTCCAAAATGCACTAAAAGACAAAAGAATGCAGATGTAATATATACAGACTTTGCAAAAGCCTTCGACAAGTGTGACCATGGAGTAATAGCGGCACAAAAAGCGTGCAAAAGGAATAACAGGAATAGTCGGTCGATGGATCTATAATTCCCTCACTAACAGAACACAGAGGTAGTCGTCAACAGAGTAAAGTCCGAGGCAGCTACGGTGAAAAGCTCTGTTCCCACAAGGCACAGACTCGCTCCCATCTTGTTCCCACATCCAATATCCGGACATAGACAAGATGTCAGCCACAGCACCCGTGCTTCCTTTGCAGATGACACCCGCATCTGCATGACAGTGTCTTCCAATGCAGACACATGCAAAGCTCCAGGCCGACATCAACCAAATCCTTTTAAGTGGGCTGCAGAAAACAATATGAGGTTCAACGATGAGAAATTTCAATTACACAGATATGGTAAACATGAGGAAATTAAATCTTCATCAGAGTACAAAACAAATTCTGGCCACAAAATAGAGCGAAACACCAACGTCAAAGACCTGGGAGTGATCATGTTGGAGGATCTCACCTTCAAGGACCATAACATTGTATCAATCGCATCTGCTAGAAAAATGACAGGATGGATAATGAGAACCTTCAAAACTAGGGAGGCCAAGCCCATGATGACACTCTTCAGGTCACTTGTTCTATCTAGGCTGGAATATTGCCTGCACACTAACAGCACCTTTCAAGGCAGGTGAAATTGCCGACCTAGAAAATGTACAGAGAACTTTCACGGCGCGCATAACGGAGATAAAACACCTCAATTATTGGGAGCGCTTGAGGTTCCTAAACCTGTATTCCGTGGAACGCAGGAGGGAGAGATACATGATTATATACACCTGGAAAATCCTAGAGGGACTAGTACCGAACTTGCACACGAAAATCACCCACTACGAAAGCAAAAGACTTGGCAGACGATGCACCATCCCCCCAATGAAAAGCAGGGGTGTCACTAGCACGTTAAGAGACCATACAATAAGTGTCAGGGGCCCGAGACTGTTCAACTGCCTCCCAGCACACATAAGGGGGATTACCAACAGACCCCTGGCAGTCTTCAAGCTGGTACTGGACAAGCACCTAAAGTCAGTTCCGGATCAGCCGGGCTGTGGCTCGTATGTTGGTTTGCGTGTAGCCAGCAGCAACAGCCTGGTTGATCAGGCTCTGATCCACCAGGAGGCCTGGTCTCAGACCGGGCCGCGGGGGCGTTGACCCCCGGAACTCTCTCCAGGTAAACTCCAGGTAATAGTAACATTCAACACTGACTGTTTCAGCACCTCAGCAATCATAAAGACATAGTAACATTCAACACTGACTGTGTCATATCCTCAGCAGTTGTAGGCAAGCATGAAGACCTAGTCTTTTGTGTTTTAGGTTATTCTGGTGGCCAGGACAATGAACTTTTAAACTCTTCTGCATGTTCCACCATTCAGAATCAGTCCATTCATACTATTTTCCAGTTTTGTTTCAGAACATTCATGTTCTCTGGGTTTAACATTAATTGTGGTTAGTGAACAACAAATTGTTCCAGATCAAACCATGGTTAAGTTGCTGATCGACTTTTTTTCATTGCTGTCACATTTATGATCTGTGGGAACAACATTAGTCAAAGTTAGTGAACAACTGATCATCTAACCATAGTTGGGTTGTTGATAAACATTGTTGTTCTTGAGAGACAGTTATCACACAACTGTGTATTAACCACTCGAGGTCTCATTATATCACAGGAAAGGGCATCCAGTGTGCCTCCAAGAAACTTTTACTCTTCTATTGACATTTGAACACCTTATTAATTGTTCCACGTATAATGAAACAAAGAATTAATTTTTGTTTGTGTGTATTTTAAGGCTTTTGTGTT